AACGAACGCAGGTGGCTTATTGGTTAGTTGTCATGCTTCATTGAGTGCTAAATGGCATATTTGTGCAGACAAGACGCAGTGACCTCGGGATGATCTCATTAAATATGCACTCGCCAGGCGGAAAATTTGCCCTAAAGCCCAACAGGATTACCTACACCTGCGCCACACAAATGTGTATTGTCGTACATAATGGACACGTCAATTAGATGGAGCAACAACACATGAGGCCCATCCGAATACGTCTACCCAGCAAAACGTCCCGGGTATTGTGGGATGGCCTGACAAGGCTTGGGTTAAAACAATTAATGGACCCATGCCATCTTTGTCCCAAAGCCAAAAAGCTACCGGGGTCTATCACCCATCACTTGACACAGCCTATAGTGATTTGGTCAGCGAAACCAAGATTTCTCTCAGCCAAGCGGCCACCACCCCCTCTCGCTTAACGTTTTTCTCCCTTTCAAAGAACTCTACAACACATCGACCCATACTACTACACTCTAAAGGGCGTGGACACAACAGGAAGGGCCTGTCAGGCAGACACGTGGTGTCGGAGTCTGAGAGGCCCATCGGACGCCGGCTCTCGGCGAATTATGAAAACCCATTAGGTGGTTGATTTGACATAGGCTGCCATGGTTACAAATGCGTTGGACGGATTCGACCAGTGTGGACTAAACAGGCCATAAACAGATGAATTCCATCCACACGGGAAAGGGAAAGATAACTTCTCTTAAGTAAATTTATTTAGACGGAAAATGATATATACTGCGTCATCATCAATGGGTGGCATTCTCCGTGTGTATACTCACAAGGCATGCATAGATATATTTATGTTCGTTATGTTCATATCCCAAGTATTGGTGTGTTTCGTATGAGAAGACTGGTGACCCAGAAATTTCGTCCTGAGTCTGAAACATTTCCAAAATGGATGGAAAATGTTTTCATCACCGTCCAATAATCAACCAGATCAAAAATTTTGGTGTACGTAAAATTACATAAAGACCTCTACACCTCACGTAACGTATCATTAGGCAAATTGGTAAAATTTATCTCACAGTACTCTGCGAAAATTGACAATTGAATTGAATTGAAAATTATAGATTCCACTATCACGGTCTGGTTAAATGAAATGAAAGCGTGGTCCAGTGAATTGAGTCATCAGCATAGCGATCGGATGTCGTGCTGACCCAATTTAGTGTCCTCAGGAAGCAGTTGATTGGCTGCAGCCAATCATTCAATAAATGTAAACACCTGAGAGACTTACAACACCCATTACTATTGTTATTATTATTATTGTGACTTCTGGAGCATAGAGCATCGAATCATATAAGTTAGGCGACTCGGAAGAAAGTGATCACACTTCCTCTCTAAATTGCAGTTAGTTTGTAGCCCAATGTTTCCGACTGAACATTTGTTGTCGTTTCCGAGAGCAATAAATATTATTCATATGAAGGTTCCGTCGAAATGGATGAAGAAACCAAATGGATATTGCAGAAGGGAATCAAACGTTAACAAACTACAAGCAAATAGATGTCATGTGTTCGTAGTGTAACATTCGGGACGGCAAAATGATTCAGCTGCGAAACTTTGCTATCTTTAGGAGCAGATAGAAATCAATGACTGCATTGGTGCATGCATTATGTCTATTGTGGGGTTGTACCGGAGACATTCGTTATGTCAATTTAGTCCTGAACTCGCGTCCATCAACCTCCTAGTTCCTAGTCACCCGGAAAGATCCTAGATTGGCTCCTGGTAGGGCTCATCAGTACTGTATTTTCATTGATCTGATGGGATTTGAACTTAGATCCGCTCGCCGGTATGGCGTGGGCTGCCATTGTATTCACCAGCTCATATCGAGACTGATCAGAATTAGTGATTTAGGTTTATTCCCATTTAATTCCCAATGATAACCAGTCTTTTATCAGGGATATCCAGCGAGGTATACGGGATGCAACCTGGGAAGTCCAATTAACTGAATGAATTGAGCATTACACATGGTGATGTCTGAAGAGTGGTCAATCGCAATCGATAACACTTATCGTAATTGCCTACTCATAAGTAGTTGTAAGCTAAAAGCGAAAAATACCATGCGGTGCCCCACAGCATTCGCCACGGAATTATATATCAATGCAACGCAAAATTTTAAGACCAAAAGATTTTGGTTGGTTACAAAGAAATGGCAGTGAAAATGCACACGATGAGATGGAATTACCAGGTAGTTTGTCTTTCGGCTTCTGATGTATTTACGAATTTGCCTGGGAGGAAAATCAACGCTTCACACAGACATTATGCGCGTCTAATTGAAAACCAACAAGTCCTTCAGCTGATTTGTCTGACATTCTGTGTGAAATGTCTTTCCAGATGTAATGGTTATTCATTGTACATTTCAAATTATTCCACCTTCCGAATTACAGTTTGTATCATTATTGCCGTTCTTTGTTATCCAGCCGTCTCTAGAATTAGGGTTGTATTTCCGAGCTAATGATTAACGGCAGAAAAACTGTTTTGAACTGAGAATCTGACAGTAAAAACAACTTTTCTTACATGTGAATAGGGAAGACAAAAGCACAAAGTTGCACAATGCATCCTGGGTTCTTTCGCTGCATCCGTATCGCGATTTATTTGATTGGTAATATTCGGTTAAAAAAGGCAGAATCGTAGGAAAAGAAAAAGTACAACGAAAAGCACTCAACAGCCACATTTGTTAGGAGGTTATCACCAGAATGATAGGTCAGTCACCCTGTTTAAACGGTTGGAAAAATTTATTATTTGAATTACCAATTCCTTGGCGTATTTCAGTTTCCTGGTGCTTTTTGTGTTGCAGAAAACCTGTAACTGCGTCTCTCAACATGGCACAGTGCTTCACTTTGACCAGATCACGTGTTATGGTTGGATTGAGTTTCCTGCAGTTCACTGAGGACGTCATACTGCAAACGTTTTCGCTCATTGTTTTCTGAAGACAGACCGGAATGAGCTCGATTTTTCAATAATTTANCCATCCTGCCGATGCACCTGGTCAAGCATCTACACCTGAATTGATAAATAGTTTGGTTTCGGGTAGAAGACAGCGATTCTTTTGTCGAAGGTGTTGACAAACGGGAAGTTTATGAAAACAAAGATAAGGCCAGATGCATCGTTGGTGCGCCTAAAGACCGATTTTAAACGCTAAGCAATTAGCCAGTTGATATCGTGGTCTCGCAGGACCACTCTCATCTGTCCTGCACCTGAAGTCTTTTCTCGTGTATATTTGAGTTGTGGCTATGATTATTACACGAAACTTTTTGGATACCTGTTAGATTCTACACATTTTCTAGCCTTGTCACATTCGTTATCAAATTTTTCTTCGGTGTTAGTTTGTCACGCTCTACAGAAAAGGGTTCGTATTAGACCAACCTTATGTCCCATTGCAAAAAGGCTAGCATAGTGAAGATATTGCCAGATCATGTGTTCTTTCTGTACTCATATCTTCTGTTTGAAGTATCCATTCGACGTGAAACTCAGACGTTGAGAAAGGTGTTGTAGTCTATCATTTCATTGTGGCTTGTTGACGTTAACTTCGGGGGAAGATTCTTCAAGCATGCGAATAGTCCCTTCCCGTCTTCCTTCTAAATACAAATATGTCATTAACATAACGCCGACATAGGTTCCGTTTTGCATTTTCGTCCGGCGGTTGGTGTTCAAGATAGGAGACAAAAATGTCTGCAATAATAAGCCACAGCGGACTACCTATAGCAATTCAATCCAGTCGTTGATATCAATGGCCTGGAAAGGAGAGTACATAACAGGGTACAAAACAGTAAAGGCGGTTCTGTCTCTTCTACTGACAAACTAACGTGAATGTTCTTTTCTTTCATAATCGGAAGATTATTCTCGATTGTTTCCAGTAGTGGGACGTTGGTGGAAAACGTATTATCACCCATAGTAACCATGTTTTTTTTGAACGTTTCCATATTATTTATGAATATAGCTGAAAATGGTCTTTTACATTATTTGGTAAATAGAATCGCTCGCTTGTTTTATATTCTCTGCCATAACTATTTGGATAGCTTACGTCGTGGTAAGTTCCACATAGGCAAAATGGGTCGCACTGGAATACCTACTTTGTGCAGCTTTGTCGTGTGTTTGATTTCCCATCGGGGGGGGTGAGTGTTCGCATCAAAGATTTCAGCTCGTGTTAGATATTCATTTCCAGCCTTTGCGGATCATTGTTTGTTTGATTTACTCTGAATTTTTTGTCACCATTCACGAATGAAGGCTTTTTCCGTAACAAATCCCATCCATCACGAAACCGGATAATTTATCTGAGCGTAGAACAACCACACTGTCACTCTATATTGATCCATTCAGCACCTTCAAGCGAGCTTCTGGCAGTATTGTGCATTGCTTTCTCGGTTTCGTCCTCTATTGATGGTCTATGCCCACTCAGTTTGCTTCGAACCAACCAAGATTATCCTCATTTGTCAGTTGCCTATTTGAGAAGCGCTTTTTTTGTACCTATGGATTCTCCAACTGTTGTATAACTTCCGGTTCCTTCATGAAAACTTGAGCCACCAGTAGGACTACGTCGTTTCATTTACGATTGTTTTCATGGCACCATAATTTTAGTTCTATCTAAGATTTATCATAAATTTCTTCACCGACCACAATTCTAAATCAGCGGACCATGTGATTTATCAATGAGCTCACGCTCACAGTCAGATCTGAGAATCAGGAGCATCACTGACTTCCGGTAACTTATTTTCACATTTTCCATGAGTTTGTTTTCTTCTCGTCTACCGACTACACCACCCTCCAATAATTCTCAAACAGTCCACGTTTCCAAATCACTCTCAGTGACATCCACCTGTGACTATCAATCAATCTGCTGACGCCATCTTTGATAGATAGCTCTCTGGGGCCCCGAGCAGTGTATATTTCACTGCTACCGAAGCATACACCTTATCCGTTGTACTTAACCATCACCTCGAGTGCCCTTTATTCAAAAAGATACAATCTGGTTGCAGTCTCTTCCCTGGCTAATAAGCTTAACACCCTCACCCACCCACTCCGATTGCCCGCAGGAAGGCCATCCTTTTATGAATTCATATACCCGTTTACATGCGACCATGTACTTCAAATCTAAAGCTGACAGACAAATTCTAAACTTGAGACACGTGGTAACCCGTGCGCAATCAAGCTTTGTCAGTTCTTCCCATCCCGTTGGTCACGCCTACAGATTGCAGCTTGAATGAACTAATTACCCCCGTGCATTCGAGTGTCGTGCGTGCGGTTTTTATTTGGATCCAGTGGGTTCCCTTCGCTTAGGGTTCAGTCCAAAATAGCCTCTTTCTGGATTGGTTAGCATTTACTGACATGTTACTATTCGGATGGTACATCAAGTTTAAATCACTCTTCTCGAAAAAGAATTATTGGTTAATGAAACATCCTCCAATTAACCGGAAACACTCAAGAGCAGAAGAAATAAACTTGCTTAAACATGAGTAACCCAACTGTCACTTGAACAATGTGAAATCCTTTTCAGTGTATCTGAACCCAACGATATGAGTAATACCTGTAGACATTCCCTATATGATCTGCCTGCATTCACCAACTTCTTTTGCATAATTCACCCTTTTCTTGTGTTTAAGATACTGTGCCCATTTGTCTCGTTCAGGATAGAAGCTCACGGGAGTAAATTCATTGAGTGGTAATCAGGTTGTGCATCTTGCCTTTTCAGAAGCGTTTCGGTGATGAATAGGTCGAGACAAGTGAAAAAGAATTTTGGTTGCGTTAAAACAGAGCAGAAGAAACGAGTGCAAAAGCTTGTTTCAGCCCTGAATCACACCATCCGCTCAACGATCATTACTGTTCTCATGAAAGAACGCTTATGATAGTATCATTGTGGTTGATCATGAAAGGCTTAACATTAGGAGCGGAACGCCGTTTCATTTGAGAGGGTTGGAAATCGAGATGATGGCACTCTGGGCATCATGGTGAATGGGCAGGGTAGACTTGAATCTTTTACGCCAAATCTCACGATGGACAGGGTCTGAGCTCGATAGAGATCGAATAAAGTGTTTACTTGGGTGTCAACATTTTGGATCGTCTTCCTGCTCCGTACGGATTTTGTTTGTCACGATCCGTCACCGACGAACCAGATACCAAAACTAATTCACGAACAGATGTTTTTATATGAAGACAGTTACTCGATTAAACTTAGCAGTCCTGGGAATGGATTCCGTGAGTCACTGCTGGAATCAGCTTGTGTAGCAGTTGTTCCGTTTAAGTGCATGTACAACAGTGATGAGACCGGAATTCACTCAAAAAGTGTTGGGCCAAGGCTACACTATTTTATGTTGGACTTGAGAAACCGTTACTCCGATTTGCGAAACCGTCTTATGAATTGAGAAATCACTATTTTGGCTTGAGAAAGAAACGCTGTGGTTGAATCCGCTTTCGTTCATTGCACCTCATTGGTCAATTGATCACGTTTTTTCTACCCCCGGATTGACCACCTGTCTTCCCACGCTCTTTCTGTGTTGAAATGAGGCAGACCTCAGTCGTGCATCTTGTCGAGCTCTGTGACGGACGTCGAATCGGTGAAGCCATGCTATTTGCGACAACCAAGCTGGACGCCACTCAATAAGTATGAAGAGTGACGCACTGTTTCATGCGCACTACAGCCAAAGTACAACTGTTCGTAGTTGCTTTAACATTGACGATAGCTCAATGCCCCAGTGATATTGCTGATATCCCTCCCTCTCTTACGTTTTGTCTGTTTTTTATGTATTTTGCTCTACTTTTTTGCCATGCTAAAGCCCTATATAAACAATGTATTTTATGCAGTATGCACCATGTTGAGATGCAGCGAAATCGTCCTGGACATAAATCGTGCAGTATTGCCATATGGTCTTTTCCTTTGATAGCTCAATAACCAAAGCTGGCCACAGCAACTATAACCAGGGACGAGTTTGTGCCAACGATGCAATTCGAGCGATGTACTTTTCAGTATGAGTATCATGGGTCTATTTGAATGAAAATATTGGTTCAGTGACAGAGGCTGGAGTTCTTGAGGTGAACTTGGGTGAATAGGCTGGCTGTCATCAATGGCCTAGATACCAAAACCAGTTACACCTTAAGTGTAGCTCACCCATTCCTGGCTCAGCCCATAGAACTGAACGAAACAGAATGCAATCGATTCGATGCACCTTTCATCATATGAGTCATGCGTGATCAAAGTATTCGCTTGGACATTGACGATCCCTCAGTAACCAAAGCTTATTACGAGAGAAGAGGCTTCTCCCGTAGGGCTATTGAAGAAGATTGGTCGTACAGCAGCATTTCGCGGGGTGCAAGGAAAGAGCGATCAGTCACAACATCCACCAGGGACCATAGTGAGGTTCGCGGAGGACATCCATTTGCACAACCGAGTACCATATTGAAAACAACAGTATGACGGAGGTTATATTTATGTTTAGTGGTGGAACAGATGTGCCAACATCAGAATGAGGACATTCGCGTGCCCAGAGCACGTGCCCGGCAAAAGCTAGTCACATCCTCAAACACGGCACCGTTGATCGCTCGTGACCATTCATCCACTGAAGAGAATTGCATTTATACACACTTAACCACTTGAGTGGTAGTTCCCCGTAGTGTACAGCTCCGTTGGCGATAGATTTCAGGACATAATCCGTGACAGTGGGAGAGCAAGTGTACGTTGCACCGGGAATATTCAACCCGTTCATTTCTATCCACCCGACTAGTCATCGATATTGGCTAAAAACGGAAAGGGAACCTTCTGGCCGTTTAGTGCAATGCATCATCTCTTGTGTAACAGAAAATCGTTTCATGTGAAAACCCAAATGAAAGTAACTTGAAAAATGAACACCTGGTTCGTCGATTGATTGTTGAATGTGGTCAGCATTTTCATCTGTACACTAACATTATAATAATGTTTGAACAAATAGAAACAAATTACAAAAATAAGTAAAATCAGTTGAGCGTATTGAAATATATAAAAGAAAATGAGAATAAGGAATACAAAATCAAAGTCCCACACGTCCACTTTTGTGTTTAGAGGGATGAACGTGAGATTGTTCACCAGATCATGGAATGTAAATCGGACTAGAGCGGATAGGAGATTAATAGTTGATCGTGATCAAAAGTATAAACAAAAAAAATAATTGACTAGATTTGGGCGTGGCATCAGCAGAATGAATGAGATAACGAAGTATTTGTGGAAAAGAAGACAAAACGGGTCAGAGGGACTGAGAGGCGGGGGGGTGGGAGCGAGGCTAAGACTTATTTGGACTTAGGTCGACGAACATAATGGCTTGGAACGAATGGTAACGCGGTTACCGAATAGGGGAATAGCTTGCCCCGAATTTCCACTTGCAAATTCTGTCCCGGTGAAGCCAAATCCGAACGAACATATGCCATGGCAATATTGTGGCCTAGTGTCGGTGACAGACAACCACTTGTCACCTCACCGACTGCCTCTTGGCTTGCATCACACAGTATCTTTGATCCGGCTGAAATTAGTGATAGAAAGTGTTGAAATGATCGAATAACTTGCATTTGTATTTGTATTTAACTGAAGAATGCCAGAAAACTCAACGATAACGGTGTCTCCAGCAGAGATGTTGAACGGGAAATACCTTTTCGCTCAAAATACCCATGTAATTAATATTGTGTTTACAGAATAAGTTCGTAATTATAGATTAATAATAGACTGGGTATAGAGTACCGTACAGCATGTTCGAGAAAACGCCTAGAGCCTCCAGTGCACTGAACACTGTAAACAGAATACGGACCACAGGTACTATAGGCGAGTATGAACAACGTGCAACGTGGAAAGCGAGTGGCCGAGATAGAACAAATCGAGATCATTACTGATTGATTAGAACTGACCATACTTCAGACTTCACCTTCACGCTCTTGTTAGAGCTTATCAGTAGTGCATATCCAATGTCCCGTCCGGGTTTTGAACTCCGAACTCATGGCATGGAAGGCATGTGTGGCACCATTGCACCAACCAGTTCATGCCTGAACCGAACCGAATAGCCAATTCATGTTTGTTCAGGTGTCGTCTTCACAGATAGTTGGCATAGTGGTAACACAAATGCCTTCCATGATATGGATCCGGAGTTTGAAGCCCGGACGGGACAGTGTACATGCACTATTGATTAGCTCTAATAAGAGCGAAACTCGAGTCTATGGTGCTTCCCGAGTATATGAGTGACTGGAAGAGCTGAGGAATGTGCGTGAAGATGAAGTTTGAAAGATGGTCAGTTCTAATCACTCAATCAGTATAAATTATCCCACAACACTATTCACAAATAACTGTGGGTTCAACGCGAAATCGAGATCTGTGACAGTGAACAGTGTTTCAACATTTCTGATTGAACAGGACTAAAATAAGTACTGTGAATACAGAAAGTAAATGCAATTTTTTGGAGCTGTTGGTTATTAACTCTAAAGCCATCCTACAAGCACTAAGCATATGAAAATGCAAAATGTCGACCCATTTACGAACGGTTCCGTGAAGAAACACAGATGAAATCGGACAACCAAGGCTGAAAAATGGATTTTTAGTAATTTAGTAACTCGGGGTTACTCATTATTCGCGTCTGTTTTTAGATATACTGGTGATCTTCATACATCTCTACCGCCAAAATAATCAAACACGATGAGATGTGGCACCACGAGAAAGTATTTTAACTTACCTCTGTTTGGAATTTCTCTGACACCCTGTCGCAAAATAAAACACACTCCGAGTAACCTGATCAAAACGCAAACCCTTCTGAATATTTGAAAGCAAAACATCAGAAGCCTTACTAACCCAATCATCCCCGTCGGAACGGACTTTGACAACTAATCACGAATGTCATCTTCCAGTGCACAAACTTGTTTGGGAAATTTATAGTTTGTCTCACCAGAAGTTGATTGGAATTTCGGTACGACACGATTCCGATGTGATTTTCCAAGCGAATGGATTTCGACGCGTATTGGCCTTCTCCCCCCTCAGCCCTAAACCCGTAAACATTTAATTGTAAAGACGTATCAGATAAACCCTTGTCAGACATTTAAGCGCATGACTCCTAACAACCTCTATCCTCATCCCCTATCTGTTCAACGGTTACTTCTGTAGTACATAAGGCTAGAGCCAATTGACATCGCATAGCATTCTGCATACTCCAGGCGCTCAGTGTGAAGCACGTTCTTAAGAATTCTTACATTATTTGATAGAGCAAAAAACTAAAGAAGACTGATATCTTCTGGAGTCAAGCATTATACCATAACAGGTCATCGGTCTGTCGAGAAAAACAAAATGGTCCTATTCTGATAGTCAAGGCGTCTGTGGTTGAGGAATTGTATTAAAAACTGTAAGAAGCCTAACAATAGTTTGTTCATGAGAGCAGTAGATGGGAACTTCATGATGGACACTGAAAACGAAGCCCGAGCTGGAGAGCTGTTTTAACCTTATTGGATCTCATCATCTCAGTGCGCAAATCCATCCACCCACACGAACACCATTCAGTACAACCCATATTCTCAAGCATTTTGTGTGCATTTCATCAAGTTCATCTCAGCAATAGCCTCCCGGGGTTACCAACCGTTCCGAAACATTCCGGCATCACCGTCACACAGCTAAACGATAAGATTAATAACCGCCGTTGCTTTGCAGTCGAATAACAGCTAGTGAAAAGCTGTTTAAGCCTCATCTCCCAACCTACCAGCATTTACTGACAGCTGTATGATTTACTCATGCTTTGCACTTGCACGTCAACTCCTAAGATCATTTCCACAATGGAGATTATTCACCTTAAAATCTACAATGAATTGGTCTTTGGAACAACAAGACTTCCGAATCGACTTATTCTATCTGATCAAAGTAGCAATAACATCTTTGGGTCAATTGGACTAGCTCCAAGACGAGTCAAGTAGTAACCCCCTTGATCTCGCCAAAATGGATTGCACCACGCCGTGAATAGGTAAAGTGAAACAGCCTGATCAGATACTTGTCAGGTCGATTTATACAGCCCCTGAAACTCAAGAAGATTATAACAGCTACATTTCTTGGCTTTTCCGTTACCGCTTTATTCGCTTGACCTTGTGACGACGTTTAAGTGTGGAACTTCATTTGGGAGTCCCTAAGAAACACCGATTAGTATAGAAATAGTTCAGAAGAGCACTTGCCGATATATGGATACAAGTTCATTAAGATCTAGCGTTCAATAGGCATTGCACATTCCTGATTATTTGTCCAATCGGTCGGAAAATAGTGCATAGCCGCCTATTAAAAATGAAACTTCACCTCAAGTTATTGCACATGTGATACGTCCAGTTATTATTATTGTTGCTGCAGTACAGATTCAACCTCTTATTGCATTCTGCAATTGAAAATTATTTCTCAGGCTGATCACTCACGGTAGGACAACTTCTTGACTTCAAACACTCGGTAAGACCGGATATCATGCTTAGTATGGATAAAGATCGACCAAGTCGAACTGAAATTCGGCGTGCACATCCAAACGATTTATCTGTCTGACAGATTTTGCAACGGCCCAGTGCAGCTGTCCGCTGCATGAACAAAAGTTAGTTAGCACGCTGTGCATGTGAATATATTTGCGTGCACGTGGGTGATGTAGCGGTTCGAACACAGAGTGGCCACACCCGAGGCGTGTCTACGTACATCAAGTTTGATAGCTCTATTTACGGACTGGCGGATAACAAGACAAGTTCAAACTATTCAGTTAGTAAGATCAGCTTTAGGAGTCTAAGAATAAAGTGTTGGGTTCGACTTCGCTTAGCTTTTGGAATCAATCATTGTGAAGGATGTGACTACTGTCGGACTTATTGGACGTCTCGCGGCAAAAAAAACAATAGGAAAACAAACAAGACAAGAAACTGTGCACACAGCGAAAGGAAGTGCGGACAGAAATGTAGTTATTTACATCACTTAAGATTTCTAGTCACCCGCTGAATGAAACTTTCAGACACCGAATCCGACAGTCTAAAACCAACAATACGATTCAGTGAGCCCGTTAACGCTTAATTTCATTTCGGTCAAATCATGGACTGGACAGCTCTCACTATCCTCAAGCCGCCATCTGTATGGACCAGCTCGGTGCACTAAACAACCAGAGGCATGGGCAAAGTCAATGGAGGTTGAATAGTCTGTTCAATGTCTCATCATGATTAACGAGTACGTAAGTACTACTGCAAGGCAGTAGTGTGTTGATACATAGTTGCTTACGATCGACGCCTGGGAGCCGATTTGCTAATCAATAGGTGAAACCCGGGATCATGCGTCCTTGTCAGTTAGAGCAATCTTTTTATAGCCGTTGATTCAAGCAGTAGATCCCAGTTCTCTCGCTAAAAAGTAGTTGTCTTTTCATACCGTACGGCCAAGGCTGAACATCGTATTAGCAACTCGAAATATGTTGTGCGTGTGCCTGTAGATAAGACACATCTGACCTCAGTAATACAAAAGATACTCAAAATAACGAAGGCGCTAACAATTCTCATGCACCTCATCATTATTTGATCAAGTTACGCGAGTCAATCGATCGGTCAGGAAGAAAAAAATAGATTCGATAACAAACATACACAGCTGACTATTCCGATGCACCCGGGTTGGTACGAATAATCGAACGTTATCGACATGAGAATAAAGTTTGGTTCAGTACAGTTCAGTTCTTATAACTAGTAACCATACTTTGAAGTGACACGCGGAAGTACATCTATCAGCTATCGTAATGCCATCTTGTACTATGACAGTGAGCAACAAAAGTTGGAGCAGCTTCTGATATCGTCAGATGTAAGCATTACACTAACCGTGCGTGTTAAGAAACGTCTTCTCAGAAGAAACTCTATAACACGAGCAGAAAAGCATGCCTGAAAAGCAGGAAGGAAAGAAGACAAGGAAAAGACCTTGATGAACACTATCTCTAGGCTATATCATTCTCTATACTCTAATTTTGACTAGTTTTGTCAAAATTTGTCCACTTTCTAGCTCAAATCTACGTCATTTTTCTTTCATAACTACTTCTTCTTCGTTGAAACGATTTTCCAGAAACGGGAAATCTAGCATTTAAAGAGCTGCCACGTGATGGGAAAATATTGGGCAATTATTCGACGACGATGGGGTTCAAACACTAGCGGTATAGACAGAGAAGATTATGCACAATAACGAATCATCAGGAAGCAGCGCTGGGTGTTTGTGTATAGAAGTGACTACGAGAAAATACTGCTAGATTTGAGGACCCGTTTAGGGCGTGAATAGGTGTAGGACATTGCCCAGAAAGCATGCTTCACGCCTTGCACCTCGCAAAATGCTCCCATGCAACCAAGCGTCTCAAATAGCTTCCGCAGGTGTAGCCTCACTCACTGCTTTGTTGTGACGGCGGTGTTTTCATACCAAAGTGATAGGACAAAAAGCCAATATGAGGGGCTATAGCCGGGTGAGTGAACCAATAGCAGTTCACCTGGGCGAGTTGGTTAAAACCCCTGATCCCAAACCAACCAAAAAGAGGCATGCGAACCGAACCCACCCACACCTTTCTGGTTGTGATAGTGGTCACCGGCCCGATCGAGTATCGAGGTGTGCTGGGTAGTTGGCCCCTTTGGGTGTTTGACCCCGTACGAAGGGCGTACGATCCGATGAACTGGACGGCCCCCAATGGATTGCGGTTCTCACACTCCGCCCTGCTTCACTGTGGGTTAGGCTTCGGTTGGCCTAAGGCTCCGGTAATGAACTCCCTAAGAAAATCCACGTGATTTGGCCTGAGCAACCTAGCAGTATCATGCCCTCGAGCAAATCATAGACCATTTTATTTTTATAAAGACCATTGCACCGTGATTTGTTTGGCACATAGTCTGAACTCAGGCGTGTGTGGAAAAAAAATGACCAACTGAAATGGTTTTGGAAAAATATCTGATCAAAAGGCCTTGATTGAGGATGAGAAGGGACATCAAATAAACACGGAAATGACATAACTCACGTCTTGCTTGAGGTCCACTGGGACCGCTTAATCCTACGCGTTTCTTTTTCACACTGGCCTTGTTAGTCAGTTGTTCTCGGACCTTCTCAAAACCGGGGAAATGTGGATCGTCTCCTGGACTTCGGCGTCGCTTACCTGCGCGGTAGAAGTGCAACAGAAATGGCCAAAGTATCGTGTAGTGCAATGGTTAATCATAGGGTCGCAATCTACGTATGGAATAGCAATCAGAGTCACGTACTTTTAAGACCCGACATATAATCATTTTATCGGTCACGAATAACCAATAGTGTCGATAATTCACACAGAGCAAGAAGTATGGAGTTGTGTGAAGCTCAAGTCGACCGGATGTGATGATACACAAGTAGACCAAGGTGATAACGCCCCGTGCTTGAGTCAGCATCATCATCGTCTAGCGGAAATACAGCAAAGCGAAATTCACTGGTCGCTGACAAAGTCCAATTTTTACAAGGTCAGTGAGGATATATGGGGTGGTCAGGAAATAGGGCTACTTTAAGAAAAGGCGTATGAAAGTGAGTCTTTATGTTTAACACACAAGGTACACAGTTCAACTGTGCATACACACTTTTTTGATAAGAAATGACAGCAAAGAACACCACCAGATCCGAAATCAAGCAGATACAGAGTCTTTTGGACCTCAACCTGGAATACCAGAGACACGTGCTCTACCTAATCGCTCGTCTCCACACCATTTGTTAGTCTCCATGTGATATTTTCCACCCCAGAGCGGTGCGGGAGGCGACCGTTAGACATATACCAAACGTGTCTTAACCAGTGAAGCGTACTAATCTGAATTCGACGTGATAGTGATTCCCCACCCCACCCCCATACATCCCCAAACACAAGACAATATAGTCCTAGGTCACTAACCCGATCACCCCATCCCACGTGCACCAGACCACGTAGGCACTGCTTGTCGAAAGTATGCAGAAAATGGATGTCTTCTACTAGCAAATTCAAGGCCTTACAACCATAATGCAGATCTGAATACACGGTGATGCAATACACACGATCTTTGCAATTCAGTGAAGCGTCGCGTCTACAACAAAAGGTGTTCCACTCCTACGTACACTGTTCTAGCTTTGAACATGCGTAAGAGCATCTTCTTTGTGGTACTACCGTGGTTGTTCCCATAACTGTCTAAGGAGGAAAAACGGTGAACTTGAGTCAATTCCTGACCATCTAGTTGCAAAATAAGACTAGTCGAAACCCGGTTTTGCATCGTCACTTTGCACTTTGAAGGTGCAAAGCGCATGTGGAATGGAGGAAAAGCACTTTTTAGTCTGTCAAAACAGCTTTGAGCCCTGTATTGTTTGTCAACTCTGCCCGTCTGATGACTGCCAGAGGGTGAGCAGAACACTTGGACATTCCGGATGCAGTTTACCACGTATGGAAAGGTGATGAATCCTTGGTACAGCTTTATGCCTCGATGTATTCATTCACGTTCAATGCCAGTGGAAAATATAAACACATTTCAAATCGAGCTTTCAAGCCGGGAGTACACTCGATTGTGCAAACTTTCTTCTTCGCGGTTGCATTTTCCCGTTTTGTTCAAAGCTTTCATAGGATCCATGTTTAAGGATATCTGACACCTGGTGGCGCAGTGGTTTAGTCGCTGTCACAGGCGTGCTTTGGACCCTAGGGTCCGAGGTTCGA